CCCCCCCCCCCCGAGTCTTCCTTTACCCTGTCCCCTGGCTCACAACATGGAGAGCTGCCCCAGTGCTGCTGAACAGGCTATACTGCTGGGATCCCTTTGGAAGAGATGACCCCAGCATGGCTCAGCATCACTTGGGCATGCCACCAGCACCAGGCTCATGGCTGCCACGAGCATCCGTGTGCCAGACAGCATTGGGTGCTCTCTTTCGACCAGTCTACAGTGAAGCTGAAATCTTGACTGCACTCCCAGAGCTTTGCAAATGATGTTTGTATCACACCCCCAAGGCTGGAGCTCCCCTCCCTGACCCACCTGCCCAATGCCAGCACCTTCATGTAACCAACCCATCTCCCCTGGGGCTCCTGCTGGGGAGCTGGGGCTGGGATGTGGGAGCTGGGCTCCAGAGTAAGGGCAAGCGGAGAGTCCTCTCTGTGGGGCAGCCATAGGGGTACACTGGGTTGGTTGGCATCCTGGCTGCCCCTTGTCACCCTCCTGTCCCCTGGGCTGGGGGCTGGTGACAGCTCCTGCTGGCTGCCCCATCCTGGCTGCTTCTACAGTCTGCATTTCTGGTGCACAGAGGGATGCCAGTTCTGCCCGGCCGGCTGGCTCTGGGATGCGGGGCAATGCTACTACTTCTCTTCTGCCAAAAAGAGCTGGGAGCAAAGCAAAGAGGACTGCTGCTCCAGAGGGGCACAGCTGGTCACCATCCGAGCCAACACCACTCTGGTGAGTGCACCCTATTGGCCTATCCAACTCCCCATGGGCATCGGGCTGTTTTGGTGACCACCTCAAGGTCCTTGAGCAGTCACCCAGCCATCACCAGCATCATCTCAGCTCCCTGACTCTGGCCCACGTGCCCAAAGCCTAGCCAAGCCTCCAGGCAGGGAGACAGCGATGCTGTGCCTGTAATGCTCAGCCCCCATCACTAATTGCATGGCCGGGGCTGGGTGTTCCCCTGCAGAGCTGATGTATGTCCTCTCCTGTGCTAGACTTTCCTGGTGCGCACAGCCAACATGGAGGTCTTCCACGTGGGGCTGAAGCGGGATGGCTCCAGGTCTGACTGGAAGTGGCTGGATGGCACCGCACTGAAGGGGTGAGGTCGTCAGCTTGTCCCCAGCCTGGGCTGCTGAGGGTCCAGCACCAGGGTGCGGGGAGATGACAGGGGGACAGGCAGCATGCAGGGACATGCTTCCATGTCTTGGCCAACTCTCGTCTTCGCAGGACTGCACTGGGACATTTTAGGGAAGGGACGATTGCAGGGGCCCTACCCTGGTGCTACACTCTGCTTAGATGAGGGGCTGAGGGGTCACCCAAAAGCAGGTTCCCAGCATGGGGCTTTGCTTCGTGCAGTTGGTGCTGAGCTCTGGCAGGAGGGACCTGGGGGTGCTGTGTGCATGATGGGGCTGGGGGCTGCATGCCAAACAGGCAGGGGTAGGATGTGAAGGGATCAGAGCACGTGTCCTAACTGGGGAAGGGCAAGCTTTGCCCCACAGCATCGCTGCAGCCTCTGGTCCCTGGCTGCAGAAGTTGTAGATGGGACAACCCCAGCCCATCCTGCCCATCCCATCTCATCACACTCTCTCCCTGCAGGCTCTTCCCAATCCAGCGCTCCACTAGCTCCTTCCTGGCCTGTGGCAGGGTGTCAGGCTCGGGGCTGTCCGGTGGTCTGTGCAGGGAAGCCCTTGGATGGGTCTGTGAGCAGAGTGCAGCCACTCTGCAGTGGCTCCGGTCCTCGCCCCCCGCCTTCCTCTGGAGAAACACCACTTACACCTGTGTTGGGCCCTGGTGACCGTGGGGACCTCCGGCCTGGCTGTCCCACCGCCCTGTTCCCTGCCTGACCCCAGCACATGGGCATCCCTGGGCATCACTGCCTCCTCTCTCAGACCTCTTACCCTCCCATGGATTTCTGCACTTTGCCAATAAACTCTGGCACTTGGATACTGTGGCTGGCTTTGGGGGACGAGGGTGGTGTGATGGAGGTGCATCCTCCAGCTCACTGACTCAGTTGCATCACTGCCTGGTGGGAAATGACAGGTGCCGGATCACTGAAAGAATTGGCTGGGAGCCAGCATCTATCCAAGTGTCCTCATGGCCTGGTGGCAGTGTGGAGCAGCTCCTGTGCAGGCTGGAGCAGGTTGTCCCAAACCTCTGGGCTTTCTGATCATGGTGGTTGCCTGGGGTTTATGCTTGGGAAAGGAAGCTGAGAGGTGACCCTTGGCCTCCCCAGTCCCATGGAGCGCTTGGGTTGGACAGCAGCTCGTCTCCTGGTGCCTGCCCAGTCTGAGGAGGTCAAGCAAATGACCTCACTTTGCTTTGAGGCTGGGTGATGTGCGAGAGCCTAAAAGGCCTGCTGGGGCTTGGCTTGGAGGGGTTTGGTCCTGGACACTGTTATGATTTTGATATAGACCACCTTGATTGTGCCACCAGCACACGCTCTGGCATGGACATCCCTTGAAGTCCCTCCTGGCACATGAAAAGGACCAAGCCCCAACAGTCACTGCATCCTGTCTCCCAGGCAGGGGATGGGATGGGGAAGGTGATACATGGGGGAGCGTGGCTCCGATGTGGCCAGTACACGCTGAGCTCTCGAGGCTCCTTGCAGCCTAGGGAGGCAGACACAGAGTGTGTTGCCAGGGATGGAACTTGTTCATCCCCCAAACCCCTGAAGGGACAGCAGCCTCAGAAATAGAACCACTTTTTGCAAATAAGGCAACTACTTCTGCTTTTCTGCACATAAAGGGGTGGCTCTACCCCACGTGGTCTTGGCTAAAGTGTGCCACCTGACCGTGGTGGAGAAGGGCAGGACCGAGTTCCTGTACAGCTGCTGCCTGGAGCAGTACCTGTCTGCATGGCGCAGAGCGTGGTCTATGCTGACCTGAAATTTGCTGCGTCCCCACCGGTC